TCTCTCTCTCTCTCTCTCTCTCTCTCTCTCTCTCCCCTCTCTCTCTCCCCCTCTCTCTCGCTTTCCCTCTTTCTTTCTCCCTACCTCTTTCTCTCGGTCTCTCTCGCTTTCCCTCTTTCTTTCTCGCTCTCCCTCCTCTCTCTTCCCCTCTCTCTTTCTTTCTCTTCTTTCTCTCTCTCGCTCTCTATCTTTCTCTCTCTCTCCCGCTCTCGCTTTCTCTCCCACCTCTCTCTGTCCCCCCTCTCTCTCTCTAGCTCTCACCATCTATTTCTTTCCCTCTCTATCCCCCTTTCTCTCTCTCCCTTTCTGTCTCGGGTTAACACCTCTCTTCTCTTCTCTCGCTCCCGCCCTATCTCTCTCTCTCTCTCTCTCTCCTCTCTCTCTCCCCTTCTCTTTATCTCTATGGAGCGCGTCTCCTCCTCCTTCCTTTGAGCAACAAGCATCTGCTGCTCTCTGAGTGCTGACGCGAAGGAAATATGCGCGACTGAGAACGCATCCCCTCCCCCCACCCTCAGTCACGGAGCAAAAAACGACAGACGACAGTTACCGAAATAGCTCCGTCGCCAACCCCCCTCCGTCCATCGTTCTCCGTCTACGAAGTCATTATAGTAGTTTACTCAGCGGAAACGTTTTCGACGTCGATTTTAATAGAAATCTGAAATCCGATCTCGGAGTAAGATCAACGGATGAGGGGATGATGCTGACAGATTAAACCGCCATGCATGCATGCAGATTAAAAGTGCATTCCTCCAAGGAAAAACTGTCGTAAATGTTCGTAGATACACCGACAGTTCTTGGTTGCAACGTGTGAATGTCTTAAAGGCATATTAGGGTATTGCTTAAATGATGCAATTTTGCATCACTTTTTTATTATTATTTGTGACGTAAGAGCAGCCGTCGTTATGAATGAATGCTTAACAACTGAAATGTTCGTTCAAAGCTGATTGAGATCGCGATTGTGATTGAGATTGTGATTGAGATTGTGATTGAGATTGTGATTGAGATTGTGATTGAGATTGTGATTGAGATTGTGATTGAGAGTATGGTTCGGCTTGTTGTCCGATCCAGCCCTCCACCCTCTCCTCCGTAAATTGTCCGGATAGATGTGCAGGCTTACTGAGCAAAGAAAACATACACGCACACACACACACACACGCACGCACGCACACACACACGCACGCA